GCCAGGCTTCTGGGTTGGATATGTGGCCCTAAAAAGAAATCTTGTACCCTGTAACAAAGCATTTCTCCTAGAAAAGGCTGTCAGAGAAACTAAACTGAACTGGTGTAGTTGTTGGTGGGTTTGACAGATCAGGACATGGTCCATAGCCTTGTGGGAAGATTTAACTCAGATCCATGGGTTCCTCCTGCATCACTGCAAGTGTAGTCACTTTGAAGGAAAGGAAAAGGGAATGGTGATCCCCCAGTCTAAGACAGGTCCCGTTACAAAACAGTGAGAAATTCTTGATAGATGCTGGTACCTAAGGAGAATTCCAACAGGGGAAATAGATTAACAAGTGTCACCCCACCACACTTTGAGGTCTAGGAGATATTTTAGCCATTGCAGGTGGACAGAAACAACAAGCATGAAAATATTTGTGATATTTTTTGTTTTTTTGATTGGGTAATTATACATCTACTGGCCCAGTGCCTAATTTACACCTCAAATACTGTAATTTGTCTTGCCAGGTGCTTCTTTGTATTGTGTATTTCACTGTGTTAAGATAATTATAATCATATACTTCTGAGGGAGATTACTGTTGTTGGACCTAAAATTTTCATGAGATCTTTTCAGTCAGCCATCACAGCCACTCCTATCGCACCTTCTACTGTGATACACTTGCACAGACAAGAAAAAACAAGAAAGATAAGCCAAAAAAACTCTGAGGTACCATTTGCATCTGTACAATAATTATTTTCTGTCCAAAATACCGGCATTCCTGGCAATAATTCATCAATAAATCTGCTTGAAATATTTTTCTTCCCTGAGAGTTCCTGGAGCAGTGAGTCATTCTTATAGTCAGACTTCAAATAATTTCATAAATGAAGTGGTTATCCCATGTGTTTTTACTGTCCTTCTGCACTGTGCTCATTTTAGACCCACAGCAATGATCTGGAATGTCCCATTGTTACTTTGGAAACTTTCCTTTGCACAACCTGTTGGTATCTCCAGTCCAACTTGGAGAAGGTTACACAGAAATAAATGTTTATCAAGAAAGATCTCAGCTATTTTAGCCACTGCTGTATTGCTCTAGGCTCTACGCTCCATAAATTAGGTTTTTACGCTGCCATGTGCGATTGAATTTCACTCTCCAGCTGTTTGCTCCTTGTCTATCACAGCACTTACCTTTGGTGGGTGTGATGCCACAGAAGCCAATCAGGGATAGATGCAAACAGCTGAACTGAACCACAAGCAATGCTTAAATATCTTGCTGTTCTTATTATTGCTATTACACAGCATCTACGTCTACCCTTGATCTGAAATAGAGTAGGTGATTCCAGAGCCTTATCAATTTCCACCTCAGGAGAATGATCCCACCATTGACCTCACATGTGAAAAATGACTGAGAGCTTATACTCAGCCTGTCCATTTCCCCACGGTGTCTTTCTGCTTTTTTAATTGCTTTAGAACTCCTGCTAATTCTTGAATGATGTAATTTTTCTTGTCACCTCCTCTATGCCACTGGTATTTTATGGAGTTCATAATATCATTGCTGAGCTCTTTCTTTTCTAGAATTGAAGGGTACATTGTTATTTACAACAAATTTTATAGAATTTCATTTGCAAAGGCTTTCTTGAGTTGCTAAAACTGCAGTATTTTGATAAAAAACCCTTTTATTATGGGGTGGTGGTACTATGCTAAGATACAGATTATAAAGTATCCTTTAATGTCAGAATTAAACTATTACAAGAGCCTACGACTGAACTCAAATATGCATATCACAGTGCAAAGGAATGAGCATTGCAGCTGTTTCAGAGCCTTGTAGTCAGGATTCAAGGATTTAAATGACACAGTACTCTTTTCTGCAAATATGTCTTGAAGAATAATATGTTTTCAGTACTCTGTAGACCTTCCCTTAATGCAGGCCATTTAGAAATGATGGAATACAACAACAACAAAAAATAAATAGAGTATTTCTGACCAAACATATTATAATTAACAATTAACACTATGTACATCATCCACTTTTAAAACCAGTTTGGGAATTGTTGCATATTCCTGTAGCTATTTACAATAAGAGTAACAGAGCTCTATGTTACTTGATTTCTGTTGTCTATGCTAGAAATGTAAAAGAGAGAACAAAAGCCAGAAACATCTGAATTCTAAGCCCAGCACTTCAACAAAAATTCTGCCCATTTTCTTAAAAGGTTAATAAATTTTGCATGTCCCAGTATGAAATTATTTTGGAATTGGTAATATACTCACCAAAAACTTCACTGTCTTCAGTGAACTGCTATCCAGACTTTGTTTAGATGTCAGAAGACGGATTAAGTCCTAATTTAAGACACCCACATGAGAAATGTTCTGTCTGTATTTCAGTGTTGCTACCTATAAAAAGATGAGAATAAATTTAAACATTCCCATAGGATTTGGGGAGGATTCATCAGGATGCACTTATAAAACTGAAAAACACTGGTCCTACAAACATCTTCATCAGAAGTGGCAATCTTGTCTGTTACTTAACTCCAAAGAAATGAAATATTGACTGTCTTCCAAGATTATTTTAACCCTCTCTACTTTCACTGCAGTAAGTGAAATTCACAGAGCAGAAACCACTTAATTAAAATCTCACTGGACATGGTCACATTACTGCCCAGTGATTTTTTAACAAAACCTTAATGGATAGTGATTTTTAACAAACTCCTTTTTTCTTCTTCTTTTTTTTTTTTTTTTTTCCTTTTCCATTTAATGAGAAACCCCCTGAAAATATCTCTATTCACTTTAGTGGGAATCCTTATTTTGTATGCAAATGGTGTGCCATGATATCAGGGACAAAACTGCGAGAGAAATTCAGGTTTACTATCAGTATGTAGAAAGACTATATCATTTACTGGACACATGGTGGGATGGCTGCTATGAGTGTAGTGTTGTAATGGTAGGATACAGGCTCTTCAGAAAAGACAGGGAGAGGAGACAGGGAGAGGGTGTTACCCTCTGTGTCAACGACAAGCTGGAGTGCATGGAGTTTTGCTTGGGGATGCATGAGAAGGTGACTGAGAGCTCATGGGTCAGGATTAAAGGGGACTAGGGACTGTTGACGTTATAGTGGATGCCCGTAGGTTGCCCAGCCAGAAAGACTGAATGTATGAGGCACTCTCTAGACAGGTAAGAGCAGTCTCATGTTCACAAGCCTTGGTCCTTATCAGGGACTTCAACCATCCTAATATCTGGAGAGACAGCACAGCAGGGCATAAGCCATCCAGGAATATGTTGATGATAACTTCCTTTTCCAGGTGATAGAAGAGCGAATGAGGAGAAAAGCTACGCTGGACCTTGTTCTCACTAGCAAGGGGAGAAAAGGTCTGCAGGGGAACGTGAAGCTCAAAACCAGCCTTGGTCTAGTGGAAGGTGTCCCTGCCTATGGCAGCGGGTTGGATCTAGATGATCTTTAAGGTCCCTTCCAACCCAAATCATTCGATGATTCTATGATTTAGGTTTTTGATAAATTTGGGTTTGGAAAGAGCTAAATCAGTTTTCTCATTCTTCTGCTAGCTTGAGATTTCTTTTCTATGATTTATTCATATAAGGATTCATTAATGGGATGCTCAAGAGCAACACATCCGCAGACTGGTGAGTGCCTTTGGTGCACTGCTGGTGAAACCTGTGTGCCTTGAATGCGGAGATGTTGAGAAGGACAGACTGGCTTCTGTACCTTTAAAACTTCAAAACCACCAGTTTCCTGCAGTTTAATGTCACTGAGAGAGAGCGTTTCATATCTGCAGAATGACAGTCTCATTGATGCTTGATTTGTGCTTTGTTTTCCCCTGTTATAACTGTTATGATCTGAACTTTATGAAATGTTTCTTAACAGTTTAAAGAGTAAATTCCATATATAACTTAAAATTAAACAAAACAATTAGGTCCTGAAATAAAAAAATATTGCTTTGCATCTGACAGGGACTATTAATTTTATCCAGTAAGGGCTGCAGACACACTGGACACAGGCAGCTAAGATGGAGTGCCAAGGCTGCAAAAAACAGGATAAATGGCTGTTTTGCTTAAGCCCATTTGCTGTTGATCACAGTATCACAGTATCACAGTATGTTAGAGATTGGAAGGGACCTCAAAAGATCATCTAGTCCAATCCCCCTGCCGGAGCAGGAACACCTAGATAAGGTTACACAGGAATGTGTCCAGGCGGGTTTTGAATGTCTCCAAAGAAGGAGATTCCACAACCCCCCTGGGCAGCCTGTTCCAGTGTTCCGTCACCCTCACTGAGAAGAAGTTTCTTCTCAGGTTTAAGTGGAACCTCTTGTGCTCCAATTTGTACCCATTACCCCTTGTCCTTTCATTGTTTGCCACTGAGAAGAGCCTGGCTCCATCCTCGTGACACTCCCCCTTTATATATTTATATACACTAATAAGGTCACCCCTCAATCTCCTCTTCTCCAAACTATAGAGACCCAGCTCCCTCAGTCTTTCCTCATAAGGGAGATGCTCCACTCCCTTAATCATCTTAGTTGCCCTGCGCTGGACTCTCTCCAGCAGGTCCCTGTCCTTTTTAAACTGAGGGGCCCAGAACTGGACACAATATTCCAGATGAGGTCTCACCAGGGCAGAGTAGAGGGGAAGGAGGACCTCTCTCGACCTACTAACCACCCCCCTTCTAATACACCCCAGGATGCCATTGGCCTTCTTGGCCACAAGGGCACAGTGTCGGCTCATGGTCACCCTGTCATCCACCAGGACCCCCAGGTCCCTCTCCCCTACACTGCTCTCTAACAGGTCGTTCCCCAGACTATACTGGAACCTGGGGTTGTTCCTGCCCAAATGCAGGACTCTACACTTTCCCTTGTTATATTTCATCAAGTTATTCCCCGCCCAGCTCTCCAGCCTGTCCAGGTCCCTCTGGATGGCAGCACAGCCTTCTGGCGTGTCTGCCACCCCTCCCAGCTTAGTGTCATCAGCAAATGTCCCCAAGATGGACTCAGCTTCTGGGTGATTTCATAGTCTGTATCTGACCCCCAACACTTTCACTTGGACTTATTTTCACACATTTTGAAGTAGTTTTGTTGGCATTCCTTTTCTGTGAATATTGTTTTAAATAATGATTTGTAAATGCATTGCATCAGTCATGTTTATAATGGTGTTTGCACCCTTTGTCGTGCATAAAGGCCACTTAATCATTAAAAATACCCCATCACATCCAAGCTTTCCACTGAGATATTTGGCAGTCTTTGAAGGCTTGGCAATGTGACATTACAGGCACTTAAACATCAACTGCAGCTTTTTCACAAGCTGATTGAAAAAGGAAGGGGGAGAGGAAAGGCATTTTTAATGTATGTCTCAGTGTAGGAATAGGAGGATCCATTAAGAAGTGACAGAGAGTAATGTGCTGCAGAGATGCCCAACACAGCATACACGTTTTCCTCGCGCCTTCCACAAAAAGGGTTGTACATTTCCCCACAGTTGCTCTGGCTGGTCAGCCTTGGAGGCTCAAGCAATACCTTAAGATGCCGCTGCCCAGGCAAGATAATTCTTGGCAAAGCTGCTGTGACAGCTGCCCAGGTTTCCATTTTATGCCAGAAACTTTATGCTGCTACGGTCATTTGGCCGGGAGTGAAATTGATGTGCCACTTCCCCTCAGGAAGGAGCTCAGATAGTTGTGGACAGTAAGTTCATCTTGTGCCCACTTTGCATTTCGTCCATGAATAGTCAGATGCAGCCATGGCCCCAGGACTCTGTGCAGCAGGGAAATGCTGGATGGTGTGGTTTGCCCATCTTATATCACTGAAATGCAACCGTAATTATGAAGAAAGCAAACTTAATATCCCCAAGCCTAACTGTTATAACCACCAGGTGCTCACTTCCGATGCTTCATCTTTCCAGTTCCCTGCTGGTCTTCACCCCCCTGCTACTTCATTTCTTCTGAGAACAGCATTAGCTGATTCTGCCACTCTTTGAGCCTGCTTGACTGTGCTGTTCCCTGGGGTAAAACATGGTTATCTTGGTGAATCTGATTTAGGCTCCCATTTCATAATTTTGTTCTCTCCAGCTACAAGAAAAGTCATAATTGGTGACTGAAGAGCTTCCTTAGAGCAAAGCATCATTTAGGAGAAAAGCATTTTGAAAGAAAACATACCTCACTGTCAATAAAACAGCTTGCACTCCTACCTGCTCCCAAGGTAATTAGTGGTTTTCTACATGGGAGCCCTGTAAGGACTTACTGCACATTTGATCTTCTCACTTCTTGTCTCTACCAGAGCTCCCTGCCCTACCCTGAAGATGCAGGGGCTCTGTCCAGGCCCTTCCTATCCACTGGGAGGCTGACAGCAAGGCAAACTCCAAGTCCGGATAAGCAATATTAACACACCACCTAATGCAGAAGCTCTTCCAAGCTGCCAGCTTTCTCTGATGGGTTTCTGGTACACACACATTGCCACATCCCTCCCCTTTCTGCTGCCTCTGCCTCTTCCCAGCCACAGCATCATCACAGTATAGCAAAGCACTGGCAGAGCCATCTGAAGACTGCCAGCTTGGGACAGCTCCCCTCCCTCATGGCAATTAGGAAATGAATGCTGCCTGACTGGCTTTTCCTCACAGAACCAAGTAGGTTGGAAAAGACCTTTAAGATCATCAAGTCCAACCTCATGCTCCATTTGTGTTCCACATGGATCAATTTTATGTGTGACTGCTGTTCCACTAAGACTAAAAAAATATCAATTTATTTAGATGTGTTGCTGTTTTACGCTTCACCACTTTACTCATTTCAGTTTCTGTTAAGATGGCAATATGAAATACTAGCACCCTAACTCATAAGATGTATTTAAATTGTAGGCACAGTGACTAGAGTTGTAATTTTTGTTGTTTTGTTTTGTTTTGTTTTTAAGATGTGAAGTTATTGAAGAACCATGCCAGGGCATTTTAATGAAGTTCAGAAATATATATTTGAAATTTATAACTGGAAAGCAAAAAGAAGGCAATGTAGAAGAAGGACTAGAGACAAGGGCCAACTTTTAGCAGCGTATCAAGTAAGGTGAATGGAAATCAGTTCATGTATTCCAGCTGTACACCAGCTGAAGTATGATTTAGAGTACACTACAGCTATTCAGGATCTAGGATCTGATTACACAGACATAAGAAGTATTGAAATATTCTTACATTTTCTCTCTGATAAGCCATGTAGTGTTGTATATACATTAATAAGCTGTTAAGACATAGTTATCTTGGTACTCACTCAATGTTATCATTTACTGTTTGAAATACATAAAATTAAAAGTAATTATGTAATAATTAAAAAGAAAGGAAAGCATTGTATCCTGGAAATTAATGACATTTATCCTTTGACTTTTATCTTATCTATGCAGTACAGGATATTTGGAATACTATCCTGCTGAAATTTAGTCAGGAAAATACACATACACTATGAGAGCTTCTGAGCTTAAACCCCTTATTGCTGAGAGTAATTAACTCCTTGAGTCTCAAACTTTACCAGATGAAATAAAAATTTGATATATAAAGCACCTTCAAAAAGCTTAAGTGCCCAGCAATACAAGAGAAAACTTCTAAATGTCTTTGATTTTTCTCTAGCCATTGAATCTCATTTTTGCCATGAAGTGGGAAAGCAGTGAGGGAGAAGAGAGAGCAGCAAGCACTAGAGAAGAGATGAAACAAATCAAAACAAGTTATAATGAACTTTCCCAGACCTGTACATGTTTTCCTACACAAGCCTGTGATCCTGAAATCACCCTGAATTTTCTTGTCCCCTTCTCCCTCATTTTGACTGCTGTTGAGTCTAATTCTTGCATTGTATTCTATGTTAGGTATGTGCTCATATATACTCCTGTGCCTACCTAAAGTGTATGTTCCTTCTGTCCAAGGCAGTGCATTTAGATTAAATTCATGGTCAATTTTGTCCACTAGCTCCTTTAGAGAGCCAGGTAATTTAGGAATACCTTGACAAAGCAAGCTATTGCTTGCGTAACACCCTTTGATCAAAGCATTTGCTGGGAAATGGAAGAGCAGCATTCAAGGCAGAGCAAGACTAAAAACACTGCTCACATTTTTTAGATTAGAGATTAGGTGGAAAGAGAATGAGGGACAAGGCAGAAAACATAAGAGTCACAGGGTATGAATGTGTGGGAGCATAGCTTTGTAATCAGGGATGTGGGTGTTCAATGAGGATAGAAAGGTCCTGTGTTCAGGTCTCTTCTTCATAGGCACTGCACAAATCTATTAATGAAAATGCTCAGGGTAAAATACAGAAGCAGTGGTGGGAGTGGGTACCACACCTAGACCATCTACCCCTTCGCAGGGCTCCTTCTCCTCACTGGTCCACAGACCTTCTTTGCTGACTTCTCTGGCTCCCTGCTCCTTGCTAAGTTGTGAGGGTCCCCAGCAGAGCCACAGAGGTGCCTGTAGCCATCTGCTTGGAGCTGTGACATACCCACAACACCAAGGTGGACTGAAAAAGGTATCACCTTTGCTAAATAATTCAGGAAGCTAGTGTGGAAAAGGATGCTTTGAGGAAAATAGATGTTTTAGGAATTAAAAAAGAGCCAGCCTCCAGGTTCCTTATGAAACCCAGCTAGATAAAAAAAACATATGTGCAACACTTATATTTATGCAAATATAAGCATGGGAAGTACATGCTTTAGGATATACAAGGGGGGGGGGGGATTATCTTATCAAGCCAGTTTGTTGGAAAGGAGCTTATACTTTTAATGTTAGAAATAGCTTGCTGTTTAATGACATAAAGGGAGGGAACGGAGGAAAGGATCTTTTCACAGGAGTTTGCAGGGCTCATTGAAAGAGCTTTAGACTAAATTTGAAGGTGGAAAGGGATAAAGCCAGGCTCACTAGAGATAAGCCTGAGGTCAACATGCCAATGTTTGAGGGACGATGTGCTTGCAAGGTCCTTTGATCTGCTGTCTTAGTAAGGGATGGAGAACCATGAAGTGGCAAAGATGCAAAGATTAGTGATGTGTTAGAAATCATGCAAGTGCTTGAGGATGGTCATGTAGGAATTAAGGCTTCTCCCCCAGAAAGGTGGCAGCCCAACTGAAGCACATCTACACCAGTGCATGCAGCATGGGCAACAAATAGGAGGAGCTGGAAGCTACTGCACAGGAAACCTATGACAGTGTTGCCATCACAGGAACATGGTGGGGTGACTTGCATACCTGGAGTGCTGAAATAGATGGCTATAAACTCTTTAGAAGGTATACGCAAGGCCACCTTCCTCCATTTACTTTCTCTTTCTCTCCTCTCTCTCTTTCCTTTCATATAGATTTTGGGGTAATTTTATTATTAGACTTTACATATAAGACGGGAAAGTAGCTGAAGGAGAAAAATGTTATCAGTAAAGCTTGATATAAACAAATTGTACTTTGGCAACTTGTCAGTATAATCCCAATATTGTTGTTTCCCAGTTTTAGAAATTTAGTCTTAACAATTCAGAAATTTAGTCTTAACAATTTCATTTGAACAGTTTAATTTGAACAATTCCATGAAGAAATACAATTCTGAAGAGTTTAAATAAGGAGAATGAACTTTGACTATTATAGATATAGAAATGCAGTTCTGTTATCCAGAAGGGGAATAATGACCTTATTTGTTGATTAGCAAGGGAAACAAAGAAATGTTGAGTTACTACGTTTGTGTTGTTTGCTGCAACTGTTCTTGATTAATTAGAGTATGAGGTTAAATTGTAATAATAATAGTATAACTGATGTACTGATGTAAACTTGATATAACAGAGAGATTTGTGTTGCCAGTAATAATTAGATACCCTAATGTTTTAATCAATAAGATTAAGAAATGTTTGGGAACCAATACATAATACAGCTAAAATGATGCTTAAGAGGACAGCTTAAAAGGCTGTTCTTTGGTGCTGTTCCTGAGGTGGTGTTTCTGGACACAGCAGTGTTATCCTGCTCTGCCAGATGGTGCTAAAGATAAACAAGGCAAGCTGAAGCATTGGTGGAAAAGAACACTGTTTCATTTCAGCAATAAAATGCTCAGATGAAACTGCTTTTCTAAGGCTTTAAGTTTTTATAAGGATGTCAGTGTGATTAGTCAGAGATAATCCTATCACAAGTCACAGGTACTACCCTGTCTGCCTATCCTCAGGGGGAGCAAGACTTGAGCCTAGGTCTTACCTTCCCCATCAGCAGCTTCTGAGACTTTCCAGGGCTGGATGCTAGATTTTTCCTCCTCTTCAAAAGCCAGCACAACCCTGATCCATCCACAGCTCATCACATTCAATTTTCTTTTTCATCTGCTTACTTCTGCAGTAACAGAAATGCCAAACTAGAAGAGATCTGGCCCCTTCTCTGTGTTTCTGTATGTGAACAGCTGAAGAGAGTAATACACTGAACAAAACCAGTTGAAGATACCAGAGCTTTACTCCTGCTTAAATATATTTCAGTGTATGTATCTTGGACTTTACACACAGATCTCCTTAACAAAGCTCTCTTCAATGTGCTGTCAACTGAGAGAAATCTGGCAAGAGTTTTTGAAAATGTTTACTTCCAGGAATACTTCCAAAGCATGAGAAGTCCTGTGAATTTGGAGTTCAAATGATGAGGTGTGTCTTAGTTCATTTTAATCAGGAAAACTATCATGTTTACTATTTTGCATCCCTTGGGTTGTCAAGCATTGGAGCATTGGAGCGGGCTACCCAAAGAAGTGGTTGAGTTGCCATCCCTGGAGATATTTAAAAGACATGTAGATGTGACATGTAGAGACATGGTTTAGTGGTGACTTGTCAGTGCTAGGTTAATGGTCAATGATCTTACAAGTCTTTTCCAACCTAAATGATTCCATGATCCTGCTTTTTCCTCTGGTTTGCATTTCTCATTTAGAGAGAGAACTGAACACAATCATTCAAGTGAAACAATTTTCTTACACCAGAGCAACTTTTTTGTAACAAGTCAAAAGATGCTTGGCAGAGCTAGCAATGTCCAAGAGATTCTCTTTTAGATGTAATCAGATGCAGATGAAATGCCACACAGAGTTAATTAAAAGAGCTGATTCCAAATTGGGCTATGGTTGCAGTTAATCACATAGATCCTTGCCAGAAGCATATAGATAGCAGAACTTCTTGGCCTCAGATAATAGAACAGATAATTGCTCAGCAACAGAGAGCATATGTCTTTCACTGCACATGATTGTATTATATTGGACAAGGTTTCCTAGGAGAAGCTTTCTGTTTGCATGCTCCTGCCCTATAGCTCTGTGTTTCAACCAGTCTTCTGCAAAAGGACCTGGCCATTCAGCCAGCTTCATTTGAAGACCACTTCTTCCAAGACAAAAATGGCCTTCAAGGTCCAAAACCCCATCACTAGCATGAAAGAAAATGTTTTCTCTCACCTTTGTGCTTTCCCTTTAATTTGCTCTTTCAATCAATATTGCTCAATATTCCACTCACACTAGCCTACAGATGGCTTCTAACTCTCCTTTCCCTGTCTTCATTGGTTGTTTGTTGGTTGTTTTTTTTTTTGCCTTTTTATTTCTCTTTTCTGTGGTATTTTTTCCTTCTTATATATACAGATGATACCTGCATATTATGCATACCACTGAGCCCAGGTTTGCACTCCCTAACAGCTAAATGCTCAGATCCTGTAGTATCCTGCAAGTGACTTTAGATATCTAGGACTTTTCAGCAATCTTTGGTGAGCATTGGGATCCTGTAAGGATCTCACCTTCTTAACAAATACCTTGTGCCTCTTGGGGACAGGAGAAGAACACAGTCTCAAGGCTGTTGGAAACAGGGAAGAAGGAGAATGAAGGTGACAGCTGAGATGGAGAGGGATCAAGTAAGGAGTTTCTCTGAAATAAATTTTCCAACTTTGGCTTGTAATTGTAATTTATGACTGTTGTTTTTCTGATTTGTGGGTTTTGGTTTTTTTTTTGGTTGGGTGGTTTTGTTTTGGTGGGCTTTTCTTTTTTTGGTTTGTTTTTTATTTTCCTTTTTTTTGGTTGCTGTTGTTGGGTTTTGTTTGTTTGCTTGTTTGTTTTCTCCTATTGACTACCAATTATAATAAAAATCCTAAGCAAAGCAGCTTGGCAATTGAGACCCATGCATTTTATTTCAAGGAAAATGTTACATATATACACAATAATGTGAACAATCCTGGGCATTGAATCGGAGACCAGGAAATTTTATAGCCATTGCCTTAGTCTCCCTTTGGCTTGCTGAATCTTGCACCTCTGCTTGTGCTCTAGTCTCACAAGAGTCTTCCCATCCAACTAGGTTGCTGTGAAAAGTGGGACCTTCCTTCAAGCACATATTTGAAAGAAGGCCACCATGGCAGCCATGGATTCTGCTATCCGTGCCTATCAAGCATTTTACTGGACAAGGCTCTCCCAGGACTGAAGTGGAGCTCAGTGACTCTCTTAATTCTTTTCCAAATCACATGAGACTTTCAGCAGGACCTAGCACTAGACTGGGGTATTCCTGTGTGTTCACAAGCACCCCAAGAGCTAGGCTATTGCTGGACAAGCATATTTTTTCAGTGTGTTCTTAGGCTTGAGTGCCTAACTTCTTCAAGTCCCATTCTTAGAAGATGTAGTAGTGTATTTCACCTTCTTTTATGAGCTGCTTCCTCAAGCAGGGTAGCCATGGCCATGGCTGCATGGGCATTGACTTACTCGTGCAAATATGAATCACGTAGTCAGACTTGCACAAACCACTCTGTGCCATCAGTGTTTCTCAGCTGTGGTTACAGGAGTTGTTGCATGGCTTGGTTGTGTGGTTCCCAGAGTGGGAATGCTTTCTGCAGAAACATCCTTTCCACTCTGTTCTTAGCCTTACACCTGCTTCACTGATTTTTTTGTAGTGCTTTTCATTCTCCTTTTCCCTATGAATTTCACTACTTTTGGATGTGGTTTTAACTATACCTTAGAGTCTTTTACACCTAGAGCTGTTCAATACATTAGCCTTTTAAGACCTGCTGTTGAATGAATAATGCACTGCATTTATAGACTACAATTAGGCTAAATTAAACCAATTTCTCCTATTCCCAGGAGTGCAGTGGACATTTCTGTTGCAAAGGCTGGAGGTAACACTGCAATTCTTCCCCAGGAAACCAGCAGGTTCTCCAGTCTGTGTGAGTGAAAATAAGGACTTTCCTGCATTGCCTCTCTCAGGACTGATAGGGACTCATAGTTTTCTATATAATTCCTGGCCCTCCGTATCCATCCAACCATCAAAAACACCACATTTCCTAACTCTGATTTAGCCACTGTGGGCTGAGATGCGTGCATCTCACCTGAATTGCTGTTGTTTGTTTGGTGACAGAAATGAATCAAAGCTTTCTCAGCTTGCAGGTGCGGTAGTATTGAAAACCAAAGTAGTGAAAGAGAAACTGTGGTCTGTTTCTAGTGGGACTGAATCACCAAGGCCTGGAGAACTCTTCTGTGCTCATACAACTCTTTCCAAGCACTGCCTGAAAAAACACCTTCCTCCCATCCAAGAGGCTTCTCCAACTCTCTGAGAGAAGATGGGGCCCACACTAAAGCATGTAATCTAATATATACTCAGTTTTATTTCTAGGTACTTGAAATCTTCTGAAGGATGGAGAAAGTAAAATAGGTGAAGTTACCAAAAAGTAACATAGCTTCCTAATAAAGGGCTTGGTGATTAAAATGCTCAGAGGATTGTTATACTGCAATAAGAAAAATTCCTTGTGTAGGCATTTCCAGGTATTTCTTCAAGTGAGGGAAAGGTTATGATGAAAATAAGGTCACTGAGTATTTTCTGCTGATGACAAGCCCAGACTCTCTGCAGAATTTAGGTAGTTACTGCACCTTGCCAAGTGACAGGTCCAGTGATATAGAGTATGGAAAAAGAATTCATTTTCTGCTGCAAATAAAGTCATCATTCAACTGTTCACCCCAGAAAGTTTCAGCCAAGAAGCTAACAGACCTGCTTGTTACAGAATATATTTACATTTTAACTACAGTAATAAAATTCTAGTAGCACAATTTCAGTGGAAGCACAGCTCTGCTTCAGATCCTATACAATATCAGAATCTGTGGGATTTGAGGCACTGTTCACATAGCATTGTTCACATTGCCAGTGAACACAAATTGATATACAGAAACAAATCTACATGGTCTGCACTCCACTGCTATTCTCTGCTTTGGAGACAAAGTGCTTAACAAAAAATTAACTTGCTTTTATGATAAAACATATTTTAAAGAATAAAAAGCAATTTATATTATTTTTTTTTCTTGCCTGCCACTACTTTACTTCTGCGTATTTGTATGCTACCTCCTACTAAAACCAGATTTAATTATACTGCTGTTACTGACTATGATGCTAAACTCCAACTCTCATCATGGTCTATGGCTTATCATCGGAGGGAGGAAAGAAATGACTCACCTTTTTCCATTGGGATGAATACACTCATCTCTAGAAGATAAAAGCTGCCCAGACTATTTCGAATCCCTTGAACCAAATCTAATGCATTTTCAAGTAGAGAAAATTTGCTAAAGATTGAGCAAAACCTGAAACTTTTTCTCCCTGCATAAACTGCTTGATTTCAGCAGGACCAAGTCAGCCTTAGTCAGGGAGCTGTGACTCTATAGCAAACCATATTTTTGCTAAGAGAAAGGGCACAGAGCCAATTCTAGTTATGCATGTTGGGTGATTGTATTGAGCATGCACAAAAGACGTGTATGCCAGAGTACCAGCTCTCTGCATAAAGATCTTATGATTCTTCTTTCCTCAAAATTCCTCACAGACTGCATTTGTATCACAAATGTATCTTTTGCCTTGTTCTACCTTGCCTTTGCACATCCTCATCAAAATTCAATTTTATGGTTAATGTAAAATTGTTGTGCAAAAAGTATTAATTTAACAGAGATTATTTGGTAAAAATAATTCCCACAGGTTCTGTTTGCGTCTCAAGAGCTCCTCTAAGAAAGTAACATAAATTGCAAGCAGAACTCCTGTGATTTTCTGGCAGTCAGCCCTCTAAGTACTTTTCTTATTTCCAAAAAAATTTGATGCATTTTCCCCGGTTTGTCCATTTTCATTAGTGTTTAATGAAGTCTCTGCAGACTGTGTGCAGCTACTGTTTGCATCATGCAGTTGTGGTACCTTATTTTGTATCTACCTAAATCAGTCCAGAAATGGAAAATGATGGAGGCTTTATGTGTGGTGCTGACTCTGGAAATGAATTAATGTTTCTTCCTATACATTTTCTTCCAGAGCTGTATGAATTTTACATGTCTGATATAAACAAATATAATCAATAAAGCAGGAATGTCACCATTGCTG